ACTCAGTAAACATTTATTCAATACAATTAATTCATGGGTGTTGTTAGGTCCTCCTGAGCAGTACATTATAACTTTTAGAACAAATTAAAATTACATAGATGCTGCCAAGAGTGTTTGTCAGGTCTGTATTCCATGTATTGTATTTACAGAACTATGTAGCCTTCCTCTGCAATGCACAGGCATTTTGTTCAGGGCATATTCTTCATTGTACCCATTTTAGACTCTGCCAGTTTAGACTCTGGCTCACCACTACACGTTGTATTGGACTAAATATTTATTGATGGGGATGATAGAATTCCTTCTACAGTCTATTTGTTATATTGTTAAAATTAGCAATTTTAACAATTTATTAGCATTTCTTAAAATACCATACAGTTAGTCAGATAGAAAGGATTGTTCATTGCTCATTGCCACATTGTGTTATTTTGGATTCTGCAGTGTGCCACTGAGGCCTCTCCTCTTTAATTTGATGAATCTCACTTTCATGTATAATATACTGTATAGTCAGCAGGCATATCACCCTGCATCTTACAGCTGGCAGCCCACTGAAGATACGCAGGTATGAGCCTGGCCTGAAACTGGATGGGAGACCTCCTGTGAAAGCTAAAGTTGCTGCTGGAAGAGGTGTTAGAGGGCCAGTAGGTGGCGCTCACTATGCGGTGTGTGTGGGTTCTAATGCCCCAGTATAGTAACAGGGACACTGTAATGTAAAAAGGCGCTGTCCTTCGGATTAAATTTAAAACCGAGGTCTTGACTATTGTTGATGATTAAAAATCCCAGGGCATTTCTCGAAAAGAGTAGGAGGTGTTACCCCTGTGTCCTGGCCACATTTCCCATTGGCCTTTACCAATCATGGCCTCCTAATAATCCCCATCTATGAATCAGCTTAATCATTCTGTTCTCCACCCCACTGATAGCTGATGTGTGGGTGAGGGTACTGGCACACTCTGGCTGCTGTTGAATCATCCAGGTGGATGCTGCACATTGGTGGTGGTGGAGGGGAGTCCCCATTACCTGTAAAGTGCTTTGAGTGGAGTGTCCAGAAAAGCACTATACAAGTATAAGGAATTATTATTAATATATACTTCCAAAATTCTCACCTAAGAAGACAAAATGTCAATTATAAGTAGCATTTTCAAAATTCAAACAGGCCACTTTGTATATCAAATGCTGCACAGACACATAAAGTACAGTAACTGAATCAATCGTGAATAAAAGAAGTTGCAAGTCTTGATTAAGTTTGTTTCTTGACTGTGTTTGAGTTTGAAGTTTTTGGAAGGGAAGGCACTGATGCTGAAATTTAGTATAAAGAAATACTCCTGTAATTATACTAGTAAACAGACCTCCTGTTTTGTTCTGATCATTCTAGTGGTGTTTTAAGTGTGGTTAAGCCAACTCTTTTCTGGCTCAAAGTAAAATACACAAACTTGAGTTTTCCAAGTAATATATAAAATAGTATTTGATTTCTTTTGTGTTAAACCAGTTTGGTTATGATGTTGGTACTTATTTTTGTTCATATAACTTATTTATTTGCAAGTACTTTTGCTTTAAGTTAAAGAAAACAATGACTAAAATTTCTTTCGATCTTTTAAATTGATTTTAATCCCTTTTGCAGGCATGGTTTGGTATTCCAATTGGTTTTTAATTCAGGAAGTTTTTAAATAAGGATTGTAAAATTTCATATTTATATATGTTGGAGGTGAGAATGGAAAATAGCATGATATTAATATTTTTAAAGTAAACATTGTAACTAGGAAGAGGTGATTGCCAGATGTTTTATAATGTCTGGCAAACCCTACCCTCTGCTAGGGCAGTCCCAATGATGTGCATACATAAACACTCCACACTGACAGTCGAAGTCAGTGCAGGAGGCTTTACTGTAGGCTTTTGTTTTAGAACAGAATGAATTAAAAACCCAGTCACAACTAACAACATTCATGACCTATGTGTACCAAACAAAAATGTGCATTTCTACATTCTATAATCAGTATGTTAATGCAAGGCACCTAGTGAAGCTATTCACAGTAATTACACAGTAATTCACAGTAATTGGGAGGTTAGCTGTTATTGCAATTCTTGTTTATGCCTTCCTGCCATATGCCACATTGTCATTAACAATGAGCAATTTAGAAAAGGGGACTTTAAACAGTAGTGATAATTATTATCCATTGACTCGTTGAAAGTCATGGTATGCAGAAATATGCAAGTTGCAGAACACCTTACTACTGATGCAGGTTGAACTGCCAGTTATGAGAGGAAGAGATTATAAGTGATATGTATCAATTTCATTTAGTTATGTTTTAGGATTTCTTGAAACTGTAGATAAATATGGTTGAATTGTGAAGTACTTTCAACTTTCAAACACAACGTTTCAACAAGAGAACACAACGTTTCGGCCGTGGAGCCTTCTTCAGGTGACCTGAAGAAGTTTCAGCCATGGAGCCTTCTTCAGGTGACCTGAGGAAGGCTCAATGGCCGAAACGTTGTGTTCTCTTTCTTCTTTTTTTCAGCATGGAATAAACCTATTACTTGTTCCTTTGCAGCCTACCCATGCTGACGCAGCTACCCACCTGAATCTTTTTAGTCTTATATCGAGTAATCTATAAGGGACCTGATTCAAGTACTCAGAATCCTGAAAGGCACTAACAGAGTTAATTGACTTTTTTAGAATTAATTATGAAACAGAAAACGGAGGAAACACATGGAAACTAAAAATGAGAATTGTAGACATCTTTGTTACACAAAGGGTTGTGGACATTTGTAACTAGCTATCCAACCAGCTTTGGAAGACGCTGCTTATCCTAGCTTCTTTCAAGAAATGGTTGAATTAAATTCTTGGTTAGTCATCTGCCAGGAAGCAAGCTAGATACTGTAGAAGAGTCAAATGGCTTCCTCTGCTTTGTAACCATTTTTATGCTCATATTTTCTTAAAATATCTGTCTGCTACATGAAGATTTGACATCTAAGGTGCATGCCAATTTTGAGAACAAAGCTGTGGTTTCCTTCTACAGGTACTGTACCAGTATTGTTCAGGGTACCAAAGGAATATAATGTATTTAAATTGTTTAATAGAGCTTTAATGCTTTCAAGTTACTTTTCTGATGGCATGCAGCTCTCAGCTCCCTTTTCTTTGCTTTTTCTCATAAGAAGGAGTACACAGCTGCTCATTTTTTAGAGAGGTCGCTTGCTGAGCAAGGTGAATCATCTAATTGGCCCTGTGAACACCTTAGTTAATGTAAATTTAAATTTTTAAGAGAAAGGTGTTTATGCGTAGTCACTATTATAGACTGGAATAAATAATGTTGCAGCAGCCTTCAATGTGATTTAAAGTTGAATCCTGAAATATGATTTAATTTGCTGTTGGCAGTGAAGTAAGAGAGACTGCTGAAATACTGAGCTAAATAAAGCGGGTGATTTTTTTTGGTGTCTTGAATGAAGTGTACCTACAGAACTAAAATATACTGTAAATTGGTTTTGTATGTGTTATATGATTTTTACTCCCGTAGTTTCCAGTATTTTACTGCCTGAGCAAATCAGTGATGTCTAGGATTTAAGAGCCGCAACTACCAAAGACAGGGGGTTTGGTGCACAGATTGTCTTCTGTAATACCGAGTTTGCATTTGTGTCTTTCCTTTTGTGTTTTGGTTGTTAGGGAAAATATACACTTATCCCTTTTGCTTTATCCTTTCTTTTGTAAGCTTGTAAAGTCCATGTGTTTTAGAGACCTTTTAAAAATGACTCCAAAATCTTTCATCCATTTAAAAACTACTGGGAGTGTTGACAGATAGGTGATGTACTGTTTTAAAGTTCTCTTGCATGATGTGGAAACCTTCTGTAGCCTATATATTATTAAAATCCTCAGTCCACCCTATATGAAAAACTCATTAAACATGTTTCTTTCTATTGTTTAAAGTTGAAAAAATATTATGTTTACTTTCCTTAGTTTTTACTTTGGCACATTTTTTGGTTACTCCTACTGTAAGTCATTATAATGTATTTCCCTAAATCCTTTTTGGCATGTCTGATTTTGACTTGGACTACTATACTACTATTACATGCATGTCTTTCTCTTGTTTTTGATCTAAAAAATGCAGTATATTCTCCTTTTCCAAACAATTTTCTTAAGTGGGTTGTTAGACCACAGTGGCTATTGAGTTTGTGACTGAAACTTGCTTACAGTACTTTGGGATTCATTTGTCCTGCAAAGCTAGGACTTAACCGTATTATCAAATAGATTATACAGACCTGCAGGTACCTTAACCCCATCTCCCATTCCTATTTACTAACATAGATATTTGATGTTGATAAAGTTCTTTTTAGTATCTGTTGCATTTTTCTTGGTTATCATAAAGGGAAATACATAGAGACAACAATATTATAATTTATATACAGTATTATACTTTTTAAAGTCAATTAAGAATGTTTCTGAATTGATCCACTGGGTAAATCTGTTAATTTTATAACAGGGATTTCTAACATTTCCTGTTTACGTACAGTACAATTAGCCAACATCTGACCAAAAAATCTATTTTCTTTATTATTTAACTGGTTTAGAAGCTCAGCAGTGTCACAGTACTGACAGGCTATACTTTTTCATGATCATTACTGTACATCTTTTTATTTCAACAATACTGCTGCTCTAACACTTATTTTTGTAAAATGCAAAACAATTCTAGTTTATAAAATGTGAAATAGTTACTTAGTTGAATAATATTATTAATTTAAGAAAAAAGTAGCAGCAATGGTGCTACAGCAAAATAACATATATATGAGCTATAAGGGTAATTTATATCAAAACACTGTCCACTCCACCATAGATGTGGCAATATTTACCAATGCGCTGTGTACAACATGTATACAAATCAAATGTTTATATTGGTGTCTTTGGGGTTCTTATAGTTTTTGGGGTATATAGCGCCAATTTTTTGCTATGGAACTTTTTTGTAGTGGTTTGATATTTTTGCATGGACACTCACAGAATTCCCTGTTTTTCATTTCAGCTTTTTCGAAGAAGGTGTCTCAGTGAGTCAATACTGCTAGAGCCAATTGCCCTTAGCTGCCTCAATCCTGGCATAGGTTCAACAAAAGGTAAACCACAGAGCCAAACCTTATGTATATTTATATCTGTGACACATTTTCTTCAGTTACTCAGAGTTACTGTATGTTATAGTTTTCACATAGCTGTCCATATTAGGTATACCATGTAGTTCTTAATTTACTTTTAAAGACACGTTTGTTATTGTGAAAGGATTGGATGATGGATTGTAGTGCATTTGGAAGACCTCATATTGGATTAAAGTTGTGATAAATTGAAACTGCAGTGTGCTTGACACTTCTGAAAAACTGCTTTACAAATGGTAAGGACAATACTGTAACTTGCTTACTGAGACTTGTGAATTTTAAGTAATTTTAAGCAAAAATGAAAGACAGTCTGTGTTGTGAAAAGCAGACTTCCAGAGTCAAAATTTCTTTAGAACTGTTAGCTGCAGAGGTATGCTTATAGTAAACAATTAAATATACTGTACATAAGAGCCTAAGAAAAGTTCTTACAAACAAGCCCATTTTGCTCATTTGGTTTCTAAGAGCTGCATTGTCTGAGGATCTTTTATTATTTTCTGTTCATTATTTTCAATTGCATCCTTAACAGGTTAACAGTTTGCTCCAGTGGACATAGGCCCAGACTTTCAATTTGTTAACTTCATGATTGTAATGGATGCCTCTTTTCTGAGATGGTAAATCAGTTCAGTTTCCTGGAGATATTTTCTCACTGAATACTAAATAAAAGTGTGATCTGGGCTCTTTGGGTGGTAACAGAAGCTTGTCAGTGCTTTTGTTAGGATTTACAACTTACAAAGCATTAGCTTAAACTTTTGTTTTGTGCACATTAATAAATATGTCTTTGAAACCTGAAGAATGAAAGCAATGTCATTGTCTGCGTCACCTAATCCAGGCTGGAGTGGTAAACAGTTGCAGCTGTTCACAGAGTTTCTTTAATACACCCCATCAGAATAACAGCAGCCCCATGACTGCGTAGGCCAGGGTAAACACATTGACTCACTTATGAAATATTTGTTAAATGGGAGCTACTAATGAATCAGTAGTCCATATACTGTTCTCAGGTCTTAATCAAATGTCCCAAAATTTGCAAAGGCTGTAATAAGTAATGTTAGTGTTTTCTGTATGTAACTCAAGTAAACTTTAACAATAAGGCAAAGTTAATGGAATGACCACTTATTTTCGTAATTTTAACAAGGGATACTCCCTTCAGCATTCTGAGAGCAATGATATAAAAAGGACAGAAATGTCTTAGTGAAGGTCAAAAACAGTTATAACCGGGCATTTTGGTTGTTGAGTCTTGAGTAAAGTCTCTGAAATTGTTATGTGTAGTTAAACCAAGGGAAGGTGGAGTTGGGAATGTAAACATGGAAAAAGTAGATTCAGAAATGATATAGGCAAGAAATGTATACAGCAGTTAATTAGTACTTGAAATTGTTTAATAAGCCATTATCTTGAATATAATGCACTTAGGTACAGTACTTCAAGAACTACTGTATATGGGTGCTGTACTAATATTATTCAGATTCCAGACTAAGGATGCAGCTAAGATGTAATGAGCCAAGGGCTCTCGTGCTTTAACTCAAGGTTCTAAATATTTTCTTTAGGCAAATATGTATGACCACATGGTTTGCAGAATGAAAGGTCTTACTTTCAAATGAAATGGATTGTGAAAATACAATATATTTACAGTATTTCTAAAATGATACTGTTACAAATGTGTAGATTTATTAATTATGCTGTATTCAAATGTATATGGAAATTGAGATGGTCCTATAGATCTTGGTCTTATCTTAAGGCAACAGTCATGTATTGTTTCCTCTGTTGCTACTCTTGGTACTTTAATTTTTCCGCCTGGAAAAGAAGATATACCTGCCCTTTTATACAGTCTAAACAATTAAATATATACTGTAGGATTTAGTATGCAAATATTTTTAACTTTTGTTTCCAAAGCTAGTTACATTTCAGACTTAAAGTGTGTGTGCTGTGCTCTCAATGTGCTAACTTTTCTAAGAAAGCAACTGAATTTCGTTGAAACTTAATCAATGTTTTTCCAATGCTTTGTTTTCAGAGAATTAGGAAATATCGCCTTGAAAGGGAACTTCATGTATGGTTGTTGAATAATATAATCAGAACCTTTCTTTCTCTAGGGAAGTATCTTATTCCTGGTCTTCCGTAACATTTGAACTTTAATGCAAATACACTATTTCTCTTTCATTCTCTTTCTCTTTCAAATCCCAGAATACATAACAAAATAGCCAGACAGTTTCACTGTAAATATAGCTCTCATTTCTCTGTTCTAATATCTCATCTAGAGTAATTGAGAAAGAGTACATACTTTATGACATAAGAAAATCAATAAATTAAACTTATTTCTGACTCATTCTGGACTATGGGATCTTTGGTATATTAGCTCTCATATTGATCACTATCAGTGGTTGCAAATGATTTCAGATTAATCTTTCCACTTTAACTCATTAGTACTTGAATGAAGACCCTGAAATAAAATTTTTGTAGTGAATGCTATGTACTGTATTCAGTACTAACTTAAAGAGGAAGAAAGGTGGAATAGTTTTCCTAAACTATTGTTCTCCAGTGGAGTTAGTTTTAACAAACACACCCACTAGAAAAATAGTCTTTTGAGACTTGATTACTTTGTAAGTGAATAGTATAATAAAGTCCATAATGACAGTTAACCCTAACATATTATGAGAGACCATATGTTTATTTTTTAATGAATTTTCTAAATATGTACATATTTTGTATTAATTTATATAAATGTCCATAGTGACAGATACAGCGCAGAATTTAACTTGTGCTGAATCATAGAGGTTGGGTTAAAAATTATTCAGTTTAATTACATGCTATATATTGATATAATTTAATGATTTTTTCACAGATAACATACAGTATATGGTCTTAAAATATATAATAAAACATATCATTCTGTTACTGTAAAAAATGATAAAGCGATGTAGTGTATTACCTAGTCAACTGAACTGTGAATGGAAGATTCTTGATATTATATTACAAGGGATGCCACACAGTGGTAGAGGTGAGAACCAGACAAGAAGGATTCATCTTTTACAGGTTGGTTTAATGATGATGTTCTTTTTGGGACCTTTAAAGATTAACATGGGAAACATGGGTGGATGCTGGACATTGGTGGTGCTGGAGGGGAGTCCCCATTACCTCTAAAGCGCTTTGAGTGGAGTGTCCAGAAAAGCGCTATGTAAGTGTAAGCAATTATTATTGCTTAACCCAGTAGCCATATCACCCTGCAACTCACAACTGGCAACCCACTGGAGCTCAGCAGGTGTGAGCCTGGTCAGTACCTGGATGGGAGACCTCCTGGGAAAAACTAATGTTGCTGCTGGGAATTTTAAGGACCCTTTTCTTATTCTATTTCACTTTTTTTCTTGTCAAAGCATCTTATGCTTTGTTAAAATTAAGGATATATATTACGGCATTTTAATTTGTAAGTTTCAAGACTACGGGTATATGCCTATGCCCAATTACTTCATGATCTGTCTGTAAAAGTTTACATAAGGTCTAGCCTTTTATTGTAAGCTCCCGTGATACAGTTAGTCTGTTAAAGTTGCTTCGCTCTGTCCAATGGAAACAAATTGACATTGAGTCGTTTGTGATGGATAGATATAAAAGGAGTGTTTAGAGATTTTCAGAATTTAACAGCTTCCAGATGTGGTGCTTCCTGTCTAGCAGGCCTTGCATAGATCTGATGAATGTGTCCCACCACGGGAATCTGGTGCAGGACTGGTATCTCTAGTCTCAAAGATTCCTTTGTTACAGTGAAACTGCGCCAGATGTGTGGAAGATAAATCAAGGTTTACAAAAGTAATGACTCACAGCCAAGGCAAACAGCATTAGATAACAACTGATAATGAAAGCTGCAATTTCTAATTAATGTCTAATGCTTAACAAACCTCAGATTCCCAGCACCATACCAACTCTTTTGTACAGAACTAATACAAAACATATCTTCTACTTCAACATTTCTGACTGGTCACAGTTTGTGCAGACGTTTTGGAATATAAAAAATAACCCCTCTTATTTCTTTATTAATCATGTACAGCTTTTTCAATTGTAGTTTAGAGGGAAGATTTTAGTGAAAATGTCTTGGTTTGTTTTGTAGCATGTCCATCTTCTATATTGGATTCTAAGAAATGCCTTATACTGTACCATACATCTTTTAATTACTTCAGTTTTACTATTTGTATATTTATTACCAAAATGTTTTTTTTCTTCTAACCACAGCATACACATGGATTACAAGGGCTTTTTACTTTTTAGCAAATGCATTGATAAACCCAGAGCTAAATACAGAAGCCTTACTATATCAGTCAACCACATTTTGTTTGTAACAGATAATGTTTAAATAGCTGCCATATTATACCAGAAATTCTCAAAACTACAAACCTGTGTATTGCAGCTAGGGAACTAGTTATCAAATTACTTAATAAGAAATGCAAACAAGTGGGACATTTTCGTTTTTTTTTCTTATTGTGAGTTACTGTGATCTTAGGCATAGTGCCTTTTCCTTTACTTTGCTTTCAGCAGCAGAGCTATTGTTAGGAAATCCTGTCATTGAAGGAGCAATAAACAAACAGAGGGAAGTGAACTCTTTTGTTTGCTTCAAGGCAGTGTGGTGTGAGGAGCTTAGGTCTGGGTAAAAGGGATGCTAAACAATGCTGAAAAGCTTGGATGAGGCTAAGTGGTTTTGGAGAAGGGTTGGAAGATTTGAACCGGAGAGCAAAGACTTCAGAGATGACTTCAGACTGATTTGTTCACATGACTGTCAGGATTTTGACCGTTTGAAGGTTAGATACAATTTGTAACACAATCCTTACTGAACCCTTGTCTCACAAGCTTCATATACAGTACATAGAAAACAAGTTCTGAGCTGTCTTTGAGGAGAGGTAAGAGACATCTTCCAGAATATTTCGTAAGGTAAAGGAGTAACAGTCATACGAAGGCTCACTATAAGTTTAATGTGTTTTCTGAAATATTGAAAT